CGTCCATCATTCGTTCTTCTTTCGTTCTTTCGTTTATTCATTCGTTTATCTGTATACTCATTTATTGAGTCATTCACTTAAATAAAACTGTCTAAAACTGTCCTCTGTTTCCAGCTAACTTCACAACATCCTTACGCTGAAAAGTTTATTGGAAAACCCTACGTGTACACTATAGACATCAATAGTACTCAAGAGGTAGAAAAGACTGTTCAAGAAATCCTTAACAGCAAGGTAATGATAGAGTAAAGATAGACCATCTGTTGTTTTTGTTCACATTTGAATATTTTAAATGTTATAATCAGCTATTTTTCATACCTTATATGTTGTACTTCACTTGTATTGTACTTGTACTTGCATGTACTGAAGACGTTTATCTTCTATTTTGTAATTACATTTATTTATACTGGGAGACCATTCAAACTAGCCATAGGCTAAGATTGATGTTCCTTTAAAATATTTCTTACATTATACATGACACAGTGTAACAAAAACATTTTACTTTATGGATTTGGCTATAATTCCCCAGATTTAGCGACAGGGGGTGCTATTAGGCTTCCTAGGTTGAGCGACAAAATGGGTCGAGTTGGCATTGCATTGCATTGTGGGACTGTTTTAGGTGACGTATTTCAAAGATGACGTATTTTCCGTCCACTAAAACAGCCAATCAATGCACTGCAATGCCAACTCGACCCAGTCAGTCGCTCAACCTCGGAATGGCTAATTTTCAAACAACAACATCCTTACGCCAGGTTTTACCTGCCATTTGTAATCGTAAGCAAGTTGTGCGGTCGGTTTACTGTACACGAAGCAATTGGTGTCGTAAGGATTTTGCGCGCGACACTTGTGAGAAAAAAGGGTCGTCCTTCACGAATTTGCAAGATGTTATCCTATTGGAGGGCGCACATGTGTAGAACAATAAAAAAAAAAAGAAGACATTTCCCCAACCCCGCCCCTAAACCTAACTAATCACAGGGGACGTTGCAAATTCGTGAAGCCAAACCCGGGTCAGAAAAAATTATGCCATGTAAATCGTCAAAGATTGCGTTATACCTAACTAGTATCTTATACGAACTATTATTGTTGTTGTTGTTAGGTTCGTCCTTATATTCCGTATGAGTGGACGCCAGCAGGGATGCTGGAGCGAGTCAATGCATTGGTCAATAACCAGGTAAAATAAATCCACAAAATTTAAATGTGAGAAAGTTGCTCAGTTTCTCTGTTTCAGTCTCACTGTTTCACGATTCTTAGGCTTTTGACTCAAGTGTTTAAAATTCACAATTGAGGGTGAATTTCGTGTGGAGAGGAAAGCCGGAGTACCAGCAAAAAAACAAAAACAAAAAACAAAAAAACATTGAAAGCCCATGAAATACTACTAATGATCAGATAATTGATAAACAGCTCCACTCACAAAGGGGGAGGGGGAGGGGGTGCAGGGTGCGTATTAATTGCGCACATCTACCGTGACTCCCGATAAACATACTAAATTATGTGATATTGCTAAATTGATTAGAATCTCTAAAATATTGTAGAATTTTTGTGATCAAAGCAAGAAATGGCTTCCAGTTGAAGAGCTTCATGTTTATGTCAGTAAGCAGGGCAAGTCTTGTTCAGAGACATGTGAAGAACACGGTATGTGTTGTCGGTATTATTTCTATGATATATTTACGATTATTAATGTTATCGTTGTCGTTTTCTCCCTCCCTCTCCCTCT